TACTCTCAAGTTTCGTGATTTTCAACATTTTGTATATAAAGTTTTTTTTCGTCCCAAAGTTATACTTAAAGTGTTAATTTTGGGACAATATCATACATCCGTTAGTATGACTGTTAAGTTTCCCGTTAACTGATCATGACATAGTGCCTATGTGGATAATGACTGGACGCCATGTGTCATCAAGGGGTCCACGTGGAAATTAAAAATTCAAAAAAGAATTTCCACCCAAAATTTTAACTCATAACTGTGTACTGCCTTCCTTTTTTTCCCGCCAAAATTTTTTGAAAAAATAAATAAAATTAAATAGGGAAAAAACCACAACTTTCTATTCCAAATTTGCAAATTTAATTCCAAACAAACTTTCAATTCGCTTTCCAAAAAAAAAAAAAAAAGCTTTCAATTCTAAATCTGCAAATTCATCCTTTAAACTACTAACTACCAACGAAGTTCACAATAAAGTTTCAAGGGTTCACAACAAAGTTCAATTGTTAACAACTTTCAATTCACAACAAAATTCAATATTCCAAGTTGTACATCCTCCAATTCACAGGAAAGTATCAAAAGACCACAACTTTAACAACTAATGGGTTAGGTGTTCTTCCAACATATAAGTACACAACTAAACCAAAATAAGAGTACCAAAAACACCAAAGATCTGTCCAAAACACTAAAGATCTATCCGAAAGTTGTTTCAAAAAAAAAACTAAGGGCATATTCAACTATAACAAAATGAACCCTTAAACAACCTAAAGCATTAAAGCAGCATCATGGAACATTCATCCTCCTCCTTTTCTGACCTCTTGCAGTAGACTTTGAAGCATTAAAGCAGCATCATGGAGCATTAAACAACCTAAAGCATTAAAGCAGCATCATACCTCTTCACAAGCCATGTCACTTTGCAGTTACGATTTTCCCTCCAAATCCTCGGACATTCATGTTTCCTAACATAAGTTTTCACTTGCATTGAATCTTCATGTACACCCTAGAAGCATACAATCTCCATGCACAGTTTTTCTCACGCTTTGCACTAATCTTCCATTTCTCATTCATTTTTAGCTTAATAGAAGGTGCATCATGCTTAATGGAGTGAGACCATACTGCCTCTCTCAACTGTGCAGCATCTCTGAACTTCAATCCCTTTTTCAAAATTTGGATCATGCCTATCGATTTCTTCATTGAACTCAGGGTAGATGACATTCTCATCACATTTTGAACCTGAATCATCAACACTGTGTAGGTCATATGAGTCTTCTCTCTCATCATCAAGTGGAACATCTTCTACATCCCTTGCATCAATAACGTCTTCTGGATGTTGGTTCCCAACCCCTTCACCCCTTTCAGCATCTCCAATCACAGTGTCTACAACCGTATCATCTACTGCACGATGATCATCATCTTCCAAACTATAGTTACTGTCCACAAACTTATTATCAATAGTGTCATCTTTTGCATTTACTGCCACAAATAATGCATATTTATTAAAAACCTAAACTTTGCAAAAATAATTGAATACTGAAATTAAAATTGCAAAAATAAATGTTTCAAAAATTTTACCTTCATTAGCTTCTAGTTCTGGCCCTTCATTAACTTCTTCAAATCCTTGACCTTCATCACCTTCATCATCTTCATCACATTCATTATCAGCATTGAGAGGACCATCTTCAACCTCATCTCCACTTCCTTGTCCTACCTCAGTTGCTTCAGCCTCATGCTCATCATCACCATTGTAGGCTATGTCATTCAAAAGACATAACCTTTTTTCTAAGTGATCAGCACCCCTTTTTGCTCTACCCTTCTTCAGTTTTGATCCACTTCCCTTTGTAATCGAAATTGCCACTCTCAATTCCTCAATATCTTATATAGTAACACCTTTTTTAATATGCCACTCTTCATGGCAGCTTGCTTCGGACATAGAAGTTCTAGGTACATTTCTATTTCCCTAGTCCCTGGAACATACTTGCACATTTTAGCCACATCTTGGTCCCGTTCAATAAGCCTTAATCCCTCCCTATAAGACATCTTAGGAATCCTACAGTGATACAAGATAAACTCATCATATCCTAACTCCTTAACCATTTCATCAATCTGGAAAAAAGACATGAAGTCTTTATCTACGTAATCAAACCAAACCTCAAACCCTCCCATATATGCATTATCAGACCACTTCCCACCGTGGTTAATTTTAAGGGTAAATAATTCAGGCATGCATGCAAATTCAAGGAAAAAGATTTTAAAACCCAAAAAGTTAACCCAAAACACTAACTTGTGGGACCATGAGGACAAAAAGGTGAAAACAAAACCATGGGGACCATGAATACATGGTTTTTTAAAGGCTGCAATTGAGACCACAAATGAAGACAAAACCACGTGCACATTGAAAACAATTAACAATGCAGGAAACCCACTACAAAACACAATTCCACAAACCATAGGAAAAAAAAAAAGGGATTGGAACTCACAAATCCCTAAAATTCAAAATTGAAAAATCCGGAAAACCTAAGCCCATATTATCTACGCTTTGAAAATGGTGGGTTACTTACAATAAACTGGTGTTTCAGCTACTTCAATTCTCCTTTTTTGCCACCCCATTGCCAGCGATGGCTTCATGACAACCTTGTCCAGAAACAGTTCCCCTTCTTTGATGTGAAAAGGTGTGTGCAACGTATAATGGCGTGCGATCGATAGCGAGTTGGATCGATCGCGAGGTGGAGTGACGACGAGGTTGAGCGACGACGAGGTGGATTGACAACGAGTTGGTAAGGTTTCGGACAGAGATGGAGGATCAAGATTTCTGGGGGTGTGGGCCTTAAGTGAAAAATGGTTTTCACTTTTGCTTTTTCACTTTTAATTGTTCATATTCTCAATTTTGAATTTTGAAAATTTGGGTTTTTTTTTTTTTTTTTTTGTGTTGAAATTTTAATTTCCATGTGGACCCTTTAATGACACTGGCACCCAGTTATTGTCCATATGGGCGCCACGACATCAGTTAATAGGAGACTTAACAGCCAGACTAACGGATATATGAGACTGTCACAAAATTAACACTTTAGGCATGACTCTGGAACGAAAAAAACTTCATGTACTAAATATTGAAAACCACAAAACTTCATTAAGCGTAAGAACAGAGAACATGCAAATAAGACAAATATCCACCTCTTTCGAGCATTTACATATTCTAAATTTACAACTCCTAATTATATGGCACTTTAGAAAATATCTACTCTTTGGTTCAAGCCTCATGCATTCCTACCAAGTAATCTACTTTGTAAGCTCCAAAGATAATGTAAATAGATTGATAACATGGTGATTAGGAATTTAACAATAGACCAAAACCCAATAGGTTGGCAATTAAAATTAAGGGAACTTTAATGAAAAGTTCTCGGTATTACTCACTTTAATGAAAAACCACATTTTTACATTAAAAAGTCAATCATAGTACTATTCACTTTACCCTTTATTTTGTCCTTATCGTTAAAATTTAAAGTTTTCAAGTCTTTTTAATTAGTTTTCCTTAAAATTAAAGATTATTCATACTAAGGGCTTCATCTAAGCTCTAGCAAAATAAATATTTTCAAGTAAAAGTAAAAGAAAGATAAAATCTAGAATCCATGACAATGCATGTCTCAGACTCTCAAGCTCTTCTTCTCTCTAATACTTGAGTATTGTATATTGAATATAGTGATCTTGTAGAGAGCTTAGGCATGCCTTATATAGTAGAGAATAACAAAAACATCTATCAAAAGGTCTAAGAAAACTCTCTTGAAACAAAAACAAGCTAGGAAAGAACTCCTTGACTTGGGACATACCAGCCATTTTGTACGCTAGATTTGGCGGGTCTTTCCACCTTTTAAAACTTCTGGAAAATTATGGAAAACATAGATTTCGTGATAGTAAAGAAAAAATATTCTTAAACGGGTATATATATTGCCAAATATTTAGGGGGTGTAGTCAAACTAAGATTTTAAAGGATTTTAAAGAATTTTAAAAGTAATAGATTTGATAGGATTTAAGAGGATTAAAGACTTCTACAAAATTCATATGGATTTTTAAAGAATTTGAATGGATTGTGGTGGAAGGATTTGAAATCCTAGAGGGTGAGGTTGGATTCTTTTTAGTTTGGTTATATATACTTTTGGCTCTTAAATCCCACAAAATCCACAACTTATTGAAATCCTCCAAAATCTTAATTTTTTTAATACACTTGGATTTGGATGGATTTTAAAATCCTTTAAAATTGTTTAATTGACTACACATAGATTTTAAAGGATTCTAAAATCTTTTAATTAACTACACCTAGATTTGAATGGATTTCAAAATCCTTTAAAATCTTTTAATTGACTACACTAGGATTTTAAAGTCTTTTAAAATCCTCTCAAATCCTAGTTTGACTACATCCCCCTTAATTTTCTAGCTATAGTAAGGACAAATTTAGTGAACAAAATTGGGTTAGTTTTGTGAGAATCGGAGAATATTGCCAAAAGGGCTTTATAGCGAGAAAAATGATTTCTCGCTGCAAATTCCTTAATTTGCTGAAAGAATAATTTGTTGTAATGTATATTATGACACATGATGTACTATACGACGTGTTTCGGACACACATAAAAAATTTATCCATTTGAGATGTATAAGAGAGAATAATCAATTACTAATTATAAGAAAAAAAAATTAAAGAGACCTATAACTAATAAATACAAATCATCCCTACCTATTTTACATTGCAATAATCAATCTTAATTAAAGTGCTTGATTCCTACATATAGAAATGAAACTCACCTATACTAATGTGTAACTAGGTGTGTTAAGGGCGTTGTACACGTATTAGATGATTTCTTCTTTCTTGATTACCATTTGACATTTGTCATTTGCCAAATACATGCAGTTTATACGTGCCAATTTAGCAGGTAAGAAAAGTTTCCACAACAAAACATGCAGGTGGTGGTTCTTCTCTAAAAACACTATATCCCAGTGCTCCGGAACTTTCCCAATACCAGACACAAAAAATGGCGAGAGAAAAGAAAGGAAATCCAAAGAAAAGAACAGAAGGCAGTGCAGCAATCAGCAGCAAAAACAAAGAGAAAAGAGAAGGATGCAACAATTTCCTACAACTTCCAAAGGCTTTGATCGTGGAGATTCTCTCAAGGGTATTGTCCATCAAAACCCTCCTGAATTGCAGGTGCGTTTGCAAAGAGTGGCTTTCTTTAATTTTCGACCCTGAATTTACTCGTCTCCACGCTTCAAGATCACCCATTGGCATCTTGATCAAGACCTATCCCCCTATAAGAAAATCTAGGAGACTTGATTTCACCCATATACTAGATTCTGCTGGTTCTGATTTGCAGCTCGAGAAAATAAGGTTTAGTCCCAAAAATAGCCTGCCCATCGGGGCCATGCCCGAATTTCGCTTGATAAACTCATGCAATGGCTTACTTTGCTTTTCTGGAGCTAATAGAGATTACCCCTGTTTTGTGTGCAATCCGATTTTAGGTGAGTATATTACTATCCCACATACTGATAACACTCGAAATCGAAATAGTTTCTTTTTCGTTGGACTTGGTTTTAGCTCCGCGATGAATGAATATAAGGTGTTGCGAATGACCAATGGGACCGAGGCTGAGGTTTACACCATTGGTTCGGGAGTGTGGAGAAGTATTGGAAATGCTCCTGGGGACATTGATCAGTTGCCATTCAATGCTTTTCTGCATGGAGCGCTTCATTGGGTTTCATATAGTAGTAAAAGTCCCGAGTTTATACACTCTTTCGACTTTGAAACAGAACAGTTTCGACCCCTACCCGTCCCTAGCTTACCCGTGAATCAATTTTCGGATTGTTTCCTTTTGGAAGTGATAGGAGGCTGTCTCCATTTGTGTGTGTTTGGGGACGATTGTAGTAATTTGACATGTGGGTAATGAAGGAATACGGTGTCCAAGAGTCTTGGACTAAAGTTCTTGTTTTCGAAAACTGTACGATTGTGTAGAGGAACTGTGCTGTGATGTGTATGAACCAATTATGTATTTGAGTAATGGGGAAATCCTGATGTTGTACAATAACCGCGCTGTAGTTTGTTATAATGGAGAAAGAAAGAGTTTTAGGGAAATAAAGATTACTTGGACTCAGGCGCCCTTTGAGGCCATTGCCTACAGTCCATCCTTTGTTTCACTCTACAATGTCTCAAATGGTGAAGATATGAAGAGGTACTAAGTTTACATTCCAAATATAGACATGTAGTAATCTAGTTACATTTCTTTACTGCTACTTTTATTTTTCGCTTTATGAGTGTGGAATTTAATGTTTCTTAGGCAAATCCAACCTTCGAATTTAATGTCTAATTATCTTCTCGAGTCCTTAGCACTTCTACATTCCTAGTAATATTTGAACACTTTTGAGAAGAAAAAGACAACATGTTATTCATATGACTCATAATACATGTAACAAGTTCACTGCCTATTATCTATTGAGACATTAAGAATACAATTTTTCAAAATTTCTCATCATGAACCAACTGGGGTAGCCCATTGGTGAGGGTGGGTAGGACGATGAGCAGGAGTAGGTTAAGTCAAGTGTTCCACGTACCAATGTATGCTTGATTTCTGTTCAGACGAAATTGACGATCAGTTTTGTTATTGTATATTTTGTTCTAGCATTTTGTTATCTAGGAATTTGAAAAAATAAACGGATGCTTCAATAGTGGTTGAGACATTGGTCACTGATACACTCTTTTTGGCATGCTTACCATGTGTGGCATGAAGGGTACAACGACATGAGAAATGGCTGTTTGCTGAAGGGAGTTACAATTCTGCCAGTTCTTGGATGCCACCCCGAAAGTACACAAAACTGAACTCAGGTTGTGGCTGTCCTTTTGGAGAGGATCTTCCTTGAGCCGTAAGTTCTTCGGCGCGTTGTCATAGTTCCTATTATGAATCTGTTTTCTTGTGCCTGTTTGATGGTTATTTTATCCTTTTAATTTCATTTCCTGAATGCATGCTGAATGATTTTGTTTCTTTTCAGCTGGATTTCACTGAGTGCATTCACTCTATATGATCGGCACTTGGGTTTTGTTGAAATAGTTAAGGGATCCCAATATCTCAACAATGTTTTGAGTAGCTCTTCTTCGATCTCTTCCACAGCAAATAAAGAAGAAGACTGCCTTTTTAGCCATCAGAAAAATTCTGCTTGTATATGCGAGTGATGGCTTGTCTAGAGGACAACGGCGATCGGAAACTTTTGTTAACGTCTATTCTATAGTAATGTGTAAGTGTGAGCCGGGGGTTGCCCATATGGTAACAGAAGAGGCCCTCCAATTCAACACACAACTACCCTGCGCAAAACCTCTCAAACATCTTGAGATTTTTTTATTTTCTTTTTTCTGCCAACACACATTCAGTTTGGATAAACAGCATTGTGAAGGCAACCAGCGAACATCTTCAGTTTGAATAAACAACATTGTTGCCGTAGAATCAGCCGTTCTCGGAGCACCTTTAGTTTGGATAAACAGCATTGCGTCGAGGTTGACTGGTTATCTATCTAAGTCTCGGTCGAAAAGGATTTTCGAATCCTTATTGGCAGAGGTCATCTCATTAGCCATCTCCGCGAAGTGAGGTGTTACAGGTTACTACATTCAGCACATTGAAAGTCGAATTTGATATTAAACTTCGCAAAACTAGCAGCCTTATCTTCAGGCTCTAGAACCTGAAGGCCGAGACGTGTTCCATCCTCGGCCGCAGTCGCAAGATCAAGAAGTTACCAACGCGTTCAACGCAACATCAACACATTTTACTCCTAGGCCGAGCTCAGCCGATGAGTTGGCACGCCCCACATACAATTGAAGGACGTAGTTAGTTTATTAATTACTCGGCATACGCGCCACGTAGGCTTTGTAATTTTTAGGGTCAACAGGTTGTATAGAAATGTGGTATAAAAAACATGTGGTATGAATAGTATTACTCGAAGTTAAAACCTGATGGCATTACAGATTGTTACAAAGCTTGCTTAGTGGTCAAATGATATAGTCAAATCGAGGGATGATTATCACAAGACATTTGCTCCGGTTGCCAAACTAGTCACCTTTCATGAGCTTCTTACTGTTGTTGCTATTCAAAATTGGCATGTTCGCCAACTTAATGTCAACAATCGTTTTTGCATGGTGACCTTGATGAGGATGTGTTCTTGTCACTACCTTGGATTCAGACGAAAGGGGAGACTCGAGTATGCAAGCTTAGTCAATCTTTGTATAGGTTGAAACAAGCCTTTAGATAACGGTTTTTGAAGCTCTTTACAGCTTTCAAAGCAGCTGGTTTCAACCAATCGAAGGTGGATTATTCACTTTTCGTCCAATCCCACAAAGGTAGTTTCATTATCATTCTTGTATTTATGGATGATGTAATTTTGGTGGGCAACAACATACAACACATTGAAGCAACCAAACATTTTCTATCCAAGCAATAAATTAAGCTCAAGAATCTCAGCCAACTCAAATATTTCTTGGGTATCGAGCCATCGAGGTGGCCCGATCATCTGAGGGCATTTCATTATTTTAAAGGAAATATGCACTTGAGATACTTGGAGAACTTGGGTTTTTGGGAGCTAAACCAGAGAAGTTTGCAATGAATCAAATTTAGCACTCACATAGACTAATGGAGAGCTCTTAAGCGACCTGTCATCATATAGGCGTCTTGTGGGAAGATTGATCTACTTAAGGATTACCAGACCTAACCTAGACCTAACTTAGTTTATCTTGTTCATGTGCTTAGTCAATTTATGGACAAGCCATGAGTCCCACAACATGAGGCAGCATTTTTGGTTCTCAGGTACCTCAAAAGACCATCAAGATAAGGCATTCTTCTGTCTGCCAAAAGCACAATGCAACCAAGAGCATTCTATGATGCAGATTGGGCTTGTTTCAAAGATATGAGATGATCGGTAACAAGTTATTATATATTTCTTGGGCAATCACCTATTTCCTGGAAGAGGAAGAAGCAAACTGTAGTAACTCGTTCAACGGCCAAGGCCAAATATTGCTCCACGGCCACCACCTGTTGTTTGTGCTCTCGCAGCACCCTCATAAGCTTCTCCTCCTCCATTGCCGTGAGACTTGATGAAATGATGACGGGCAATGTTTCGCCTTCTCCCAAAAACACATACTTCAAATGGTCCGGCAACGGCTTAAGTTCAAGCGATGGTGCCTGAACAACAGAAGGTAGCATCTTAGTGGAAACTGAATTTGAAAGTGAGAGTGGAACCTTACCATATTGTTGTGGCAATGACTCAAGGGCTGCCACAACCTCAATTATTTCTTCACTAGAACCCATTGCAAAGAATTCCTCCTCCTTGCCGTGGCCTTGCATTGGCCCAAATCCTTCATTTTTGCGCTCTATGGCCTTAGTGATGATTGTTTCTAGGGCGTCCTCGTTCAATTCTTCAAGGTATACCTGCGCCAAAGAATCGATAACATCAATGGAAAAACAAGAATGGTCATCAACGGGATATCTCATAGTTTCAGAAATATTAAAATCAATCACTTCCCCATCGAATTCCATTGTCAAGGTGCCTTTGTATACATCAATCTTCATTCGGGCCGTCTTCATGAATGGCCTACCAAGGAGAATCGGCAAAGATGTAGAATGGGCTGAATCCTCCATGTCTAGGACGTAGAAATCAGCCGGAAAAATTAAATGGTTCACCTGCACAAGCACATCTTCCAAAACTCCTTTTGGATACGCGTTAGAACGATCGGCCAATTGTATAATTACACCATCTTGTTTTAATTCACCCAAATTCATAGATGCATAAATAGAATAAGGCATGACATTTATGGATGCACCTAAATCAAGCATGGCATGTTCAAAACGATTATGTCCAATCACACAAGGAATTGTGAAACTACCGGGGTCTTTGCACTTGGTAGGCAGTTTACGTTGCAAAACAGCGGACACATTCTCGCTTACCTTCACTACCTCTTTGTTTTGCCCTTCTTCTCTTTGTATTGCATAGGTCCTTGAGGAATTTAGCATACTTTGGAACCTGTTTGATTGCATCGAGAAGCGGTATGTTCACTTGCACCTTCCGGAACGTTTCAAGAATGTCCTTCTCGCTTTCTTCCTTTTTTTCTTGCATGAACCTGCGAGGAAAAGGTACATTGGGCAGATTAGGACGTGAAGTACATGAATTTGAACTTAAATTACCTGATTTGGCCGAGTTAGGGTGATCTGCCTCAGGTTGTGTCGTCTCTTCATCTACTTTCTGGGTAGATTTGGGATTGTTTGGCTCGGTCCCAACTTCTTTTCCACCCCTTAGGGTGATGGCCTTGGCGGATTCGAATCCTCCCTTTGGATTGACTGTGGTTGAGCTAGGAAGCTTTCCTTGTTCTCTAATCTGTCCAAGGAACTCAGAAATCTGCCCTATTTGTTTCTTCATATCCATCATCTCCTTCTCGTTATTTTCTATCCGGTTGTTTTGATTTTGCAACCCCTGTGAAATAGAGGTTAGTAATTGCATAGCTTGATTACTTTCCAAAGACGTACCTGAATGAGATGATGCCGAAGGTTGTTGGGATTGTTGGGGTGCATACGGCTTGGAATAAAAACCAGGGGGGTTTGGCCTAAATCCTCCTTGTTGGGCAGTTTGTTGTGGCTCCCTCCATTTGAAGTTTGGATGGTCCCTCCATCCGGCATTGTAAGTGTTCGAGTATGGGTTGTTTTGATTTTGTCCTTGGAAACCAATTGCATTGGCAGATTCCCACCCACCATTCTCGATTAGTTGAGGGCACTTGTCGGATGGATGCCCTTGAATTGAGCATACGCCACAAACTTGGTGTTCTTGTGCTTTTGGACCAATCACAACCTGAGAAACAAGAGAAGTAAGATTAGCAAGCTGTGATTGAATTTCAGAAATAACACTCACCTCATTTACA